TCAGTCTTTGTGAGTTCGTTTTGCTGCAACACTCTCAAAAACATGAGAAATACTAAGAATTTAAAAGAGCAACCATAAACCTTGAAAAGCACTAGCCTCACTCAGAAAAGAGAGATGAGGGTAAACGGTGAAAAACGTGTGTGCCATTGAAGTCAAGAAAAGTTTTCAGCAGGTTCCTTTCATTTTTTTTTTTTAAAGGTGGGGTTCTTGAGATTTATAAATCCTTATACTTGAAAGACATACACCTAGTATAAGTCCCATGAAGATACTTTAAAGAGGCCCACAAAAGTCAGAGACCTCACAGATGAGGGCAGTTAGAAGGCAAGTACAACACAATTCTAGATGAAGGCAAGACCTGTCTAGTTAGAATACTGGGTGTATCTTTTAACAACTCAAGAGAAAATTACGAGTAGGACTTTTAAATGACACAGTAAAGAAAATCAGTTTTTAGAAAGCACTCTTACACCAGGAAATGGAGGACTAGATTGATCTAGAAAACAATTATCCATATGGGCAGGTTAAAAATGCATTTGGTCACTAACTCCTGCAAAATCAGTATGACAAATCACCCTTAAACGCTAAAGTTGAGGAAAATAGTCCACATGTTACATAATTTCATTATAAAAACTCTTCACCATTCCTTCTGTCACCAAAAATATATAATTTCAAATAATACATAAATTCAAAAGGAAAGAACTCTATCTGTGGTATCATACTTTTTTAATGTTATAAATTCAACTTGAAAGACAAGAAGGTGGCAGCCCTCTTTAATTTGGCACACAGGAAGCAGTAATTCTTTTTTTTTTTTTTGGAAGCAGTAATTCTTAAAGGAGGACAGAAGCATGGAGGCAGCAATTAGTCCTGCTGCCAAAAGAGGACCCACCCACATTCCAGCCTGCCATAAAAGTCAATGTTTGCAGACCTCAGCGTGGCCCATCAATGCCCCAAGGCAGGCCTGTTGTAAGTGGCTGTCACTAGTTCAAATTGTAAATGTTGCTTTGGATCAAAAGGACATCTCCAAGGTCTTTTAAACTTCCAAGGCCTGAACTTTTACATCATTAATTGCTGGTTATCTCATTTTTAGTTAAGCACATGGATCATGCCCATGTTTCTTAACACGTATCAAAATATTATTTGTAAAAATACTTCTAAAATGAAAAAGAATATATTCTACACCACAAACCTCAATATGTTCTTTTTCTGTATCTACTGTGAAAAAAAGCAGACGCTAGCCATAAACTCTTCCCTGTTCTATGGGTTTTACATGGATCTTCCCACTTAATCCTCCCTGTGAAGTGAGTACTAACATGAAGTTCAATTTACAAGACAGTTAAATAATCTTTCTAAGGCCAGGCTGCTAATGACTGGCAGAATTGGGATTCAACCCCATGCACCCTGGCCCCCACACCCAGAGTTTCAGGGTTTATGTCACTGTGACCCAGGGCCTCTTGGTTCTACCTGCCCCACACCAATGGCCAATGGCTTCAACAAAACAAAATCTTTCATGACGAACACCATACATGTACTCATGGAAGAAATAAAAATATCTCATATGATAACTAGAGTCAGAGGTTCAGTAAGAAGAAAAATACGACTGACGTTAATATTTATCAAATACCAGCAAAAACTGATAAGAAGCAAACAGAACAAACAGCTCTTCTTAAAATGACAGAAAAGTCAAGGGAGAACAGTAAAGATAGCCAAAATGCAGTATCTTTTGAAAAAATGCTTTGCAAAAGTAAACATTAAAAAACCTACTTGAAAATTAACAAGTAAATAAAGTCTTATAAATATAGCTACTCATAAAAAGTAGTTTCCTCTGGAAACGTTTGACTATGTACAACTTGGTCAGAACAACTAGCATTAGCATATTTCTTCAAATCCTAATGTTTTCAAGAAGAAACATAACCCCAAAAATTGAAAGCAGGATTCTGTAACTATTTGAAAGACTCTAATGAGGATGGGCTTCTCAGGTGGCACAGTGGTAAAGAATCACCTGCCAGTGCAGGAGACACAAGAGATGTGGGTTCAATCCCTGGGTCGGGAAGATCCTCTGGAGTAGGAAATGGCAACCCACTCCAGTATTCTTGTCTGGAAAATTCCATGGACAGAGGAGCCTGGTAGACTACAGCTCAGGGGGTCTCAAAGAGTCGGACACGACTGAGCACACACACACAGCAAAAACAAGTGTAGTAAGAATTCCTTAATCAAATAAACAATGACTATGTCCTGATAAAGAGGGATAATGGAATGGAGGCAATTTTAGACTAACAGATAACTTACAAGATTAACTCCTTACTATCTCAGCTTTCCCAAAGACCAAAAGAACATTAAAAAACAAAAACAGGATTTGGTAACATAGATCTAAAATTCACTTTCTATAAATATCCTAATCATATACATAATCCTTTATACTTATCAAATGGCATATAATAAGTTCATCTAATTGAACTTTTGAATAAGTAGCTCATCAAAGTGCACATTATTTAGAGACAAAGTCTTACAAAAAGCCAAATTAGACTTCTGTGCTGCCTTCAACAACTGTTAAATAGGTGGACGGGAACATGGAGTCTACTGTCTCTTTTTCAGAGGTTTTGTTTTATTTTGGTTTGGTTTGATTTTTGTTTTGATTTTGGTTTGGTTTGATTTTGAAGTGCTTTTCAAAGCAGGCATTACCTTGCACCTTGGGGTGATTTGCCAATGCTTAAAGTACAAGCTGAGCACCCCAGCCAGAGCCAAAGCCCTGTGTGCTGCCTCTCCCTCACCATCATCTTCAACGGATAGCTCCTGACGCCATTCCTCTCTCAAATCCCTCCTCCCTCCACCTACCCCAACTGCAATATCTCAACCCTTCCAAACTAAAGAAGATGCCTCCCAGAGAAACACTGAGCTTTATTTGATAAATTAGTTCATGTGCTTAAGGGTAAAAGCAAAAAAGGACTGTCCCTTTTCTTGCCTTTCCTCCCAGCCCTAAAACAAAGGCTCCCATCTTCTGCAGCAGGGGACTCTGATTCAGTGGTGGGAACTGGCGCCAGTATGGGCAAGCAATATGGCAGCCGGTGGCGGGGGAGGGGGAGACCTGCAAAACAGATCTGGTGCTGCCACCCCAAGGACAGCACTCACTCTAAGCAGCTGCCCACCCTGCAGCCTCTTGCCTTTGCTCTAACCTAAGCTGAAAATGGGGGATTCCCTGGTGGCTGGGTGGTAAAGAATCCAGCTGCCAAAGGAGGAGCTGCAGGTTCCATCCTTGGGTCCGGAAGATCCTCTGGAGAAGGAAATGGCAACCCACTCCAGTATTCTTACCTGGAGAATCCCATGGACAGAGGAGCCTGGCAGGCTACAGTCCATGGGGTCTCTGAATTCGGACACAGCTGACGGACAACAAGGCTGAGAATGACCCATCCGTTCCTTTCTTTTGTTCCCTCAATCCACACAAGTATAGGTCACTTAAGTATAGGTCACCTACAACAGGCAGCTAAGCTCCAAACCCAGGGTAAAGTCTCCGTATCTCAATAGGCAAAGCCCTACAAGAGGTCTTGCAAAAAAGCCTAACTCCTGGGGTTTGAGTCAAGGTAAAAATGAGAGGTCAGGCCTCAGTGTCCCTAAGGTTCTTTTCACTCAAGATCCAAAATTCAGCTCACATCCTCAGGCCATCCCAGAGTAAAATCTCTGGAGAATGTGCTAAGTCTGCACAATTCTGGAAATTTGGACTGTCAAGTGGAGTCCAAGTTACGGACAATAAAGGGATGGCATTGCTCTCTGCTTACTGCTGAAAGGTCACTATCCCCTTAGTGCACTGCAAAAAAAAAAAGGTTGAAAACACGTTATGAGCTGTCAGACAAAATAGTTAAAAAGACAGAAAATAACACACCCACAGCACAAGCAGCAAATCCCTTTTATCTTTGGAAATGAATTAATTCAACAGAATACATATGGTGGTTGCTATGTAAGGAAAAATTCTGGTCAGCCTGGGGAATCTAAGGCAGAGTGTTACAGCCATTCCTTTGATTTTTATTCCCCTCCCCCATATCTGGGGATTTTAAAACAAATGAAAGAAGGCATTATTCCAGCTTAAGGCCTAAGTATAAGTCACAAAAGAACAAAGAAGGTTTTATTATCACATTAAACATCAAGGAGGAAATGTGCTTACTGATAATTAGTGTCCTACCCTATTAGGTTAGCATTTGCTGTTTGCAAGCTACTGGGCCAATATTTACAATTTATATCTAATACGGAGGTAAAAATGTTCAGCTAGTGAGAAGGTCATTAAGGAAAGGGAAGGGAAAAAAAACTTGAAAAAAAAAAACAAAACAAAAGTACACACAGAGAAAGATACTCTTTGGGAGTCGGTGGTCTATGGAATATTCTCCCCCTCTACCTATAAAGTGAGTTAACATTAACCACATGTCACTCTGGTAGCAGAGAACTACTTCCTGACAAAACCTTTCTGAATGCTCCCCCCAATAACAACAACAAATCTACACACACCAAAGAACGTGAAACATACTGCCACAGGCCAGTGTCTGGGGCTCCCTGCCTAAGAAGTTTGCTTTCAGCCAGAAGAGGGAGAAAAAAAAACATACTGTAACAACAGATTGTACAATGAACAGCCCTCCTGCACCGTTCCCAAGCAGCAGTTTCAGTGGCTGGGCCTTGGGCCCATTCAAGAATTCCATCTCACAGGAAGTGTTTCAAATATAGTTATTTGATCTTTCAGCATTTGCAAATGCACCTGCTGAGCGAGGAGCCTGACAGCCATCGCCCCAGTTCCTTCCTATCCGTCTTCACCAGTCATTGTAGAGGCGTTTTCGGACTCGAACTAGGTGAGATGTAAAGTCCAGAAAGCCCCAGTCCAACATTTCTGCTGCCGCACGAGGTGAGGCGCGACCTGCAGCTGTCGCTTGCTTTCTACCCACACCAACTTCCCTGTCACTTTCTTCCCGGAGGAGCAGGTAAGGGCGTTTTGTTTTGTTCTCTGGCTTTCGAGTGCCCAGGCTTACCTCGAGGCGGCTTCCTCCCCGCCCTTGCCATGGCTCCCCCCCAGGGCCTGGTCGTTGCCGCTGGGGTGGTAGGCAGTGAGCACAACCGCCTGGGAATTGGAGAGCCAGCTCATGGTGAGAGAAGGGACATAATTCCTGCGATCCTGACACAGAGCAGGGAATGAAGTTCGTGGCTCGCCGGGCCACTCGGCTCATTAGCATCCGCCGGCTCCGCCCACCGAGGCCGGCGATTCACATGGGAGGGGCGGGGCCTCGGGGCGCGGAGCCGCGCCTGTCCAATGGGGAGACGGTGACTCAGCCCGGGCCCCGCCCCGGGCCCCGCCCAGTCCCAGAGGCCGGATTAGAGGCGGGTGTAGAGGTTCCTTCTTGCCCCCTTCCCCAAGTTATTCTCATCTGATTAAACTGCCAGGTTGTAGCCGCCTCTCATCCTTGTAAGCACAAGTCGTCTTGGTTAGGAAACAATGAATTGCCACAAAGCCTTTTTTTTTCTTTCCCTTTCTTAATTCCTGTTTCCATCTGATAATTTCTGCTACTTCATGTAACACGAAGTGAAGTGAAGTCGCTCAGTCGTGTCCGACTCTTTGCGACCCCATGGACTGTAGCCTATCAGGCTCCTCTGTCCATGGGATTTTTCAGGCAAGAGCACTGGAGTGCCGGTTGCCATTTCCTCCTCCAGGGGACCTTCCCGACCCAGGGATCGAACCCCGGTCTCCCGCATTGTAGGCAGAGGCATTTACCTTCTGAGCCACAGGGAAGAGCCCATTTAACAGGAGTAAGGGCTTTTATTAACCCCTTCACGTCAGCGTTAAAATTAACCACAGCAAAACCCAATGAACCTGCCCCGCAAAACAATGCCATACGCATGACGAGAGAGGCTACCTCTTGTGTCCGGTTAAAAATGCCCTCAATTAAAAAGACGGGCACCTGGAATGCCACCTTCTTTCACATAAAAGCCAATGCCAAGTTTACCTTTTGCTTTTAATAAACTACCCTTCAGTTCCAAAAAGAGATGCATGTACCAGAAGTGTTAAATGGCATTGTTGAGAATTTTTTTTAAAAAAGTACTTACTATTTGTTGAGCATCTACTATATGCAAGGCTCTCTCTGTGACAGGTGTTGTACATGTACTATCTCATTCAATTCAGTTAAATTCTCTCTCTCCCTCCTGCCCCTCTTTCTCTCAGACACATATACATCTGATAACACTGGTATCATCCACAGGAAAGTGAGGCTGAAGGGTTGATCAAGTACCTTGTCTCTCCACCAGTGGGCCGATGCTCCCCGCGTGGCTCAGTGGTAAAGAATCTGCCTGCCAGTGCAGCAGACACGAGGACAATCACTAGGTCAGGAGGATCCCCCTGAGAAGGAAATGGCACCCACTCCAGTATTCTTGCCTGGGAAATCCCATGGACAGAGAGGAGCCTGGGGTCCATTGGGCCGCAAAGAGTTGGACACGACTTAGCGAGTGTACAACTGAGATAACAATTGTTCTATGCCAGAGCTAGATTTGCACAGAATTCAAGGCTGAAACCCATTCTTTTTAACCACTATCCTGTTCTTTGCCCTGTAGATAAGGAAACAAATGCAAACGTTATGAAAAATGTAAGATTTTTCTGTCCTTTCTCCTCTAAAAAAGAATTCTATTCTATATATCTAGTAGCCTGGATTGAAGTGGGTTTTGTTGTTCATTTTCATGTCTATTAGTATTTGTATTCAAACTTCCTTATAAATAAGTTGTCAGCATCATCATTCCATAAAAATACTGTTTATACTTGTTATTATTTAAAATGATCATGAGAAATAAGTACTTCATTCATACTTACACATCTTAAAGTACCAAAACATTTTTTATTATTTTTTTAAATCCTCTTTGGTAACTACTGTGAACTTCCATTTATAAGTCTTCCTTAAAAAGTTTATTATAGCTCCCTTCCTCCCCTCTCTCCATAACTACTTGGTCAATGTTTGCACAAATGCCTCCATCAGGCTCTACCTGTTGTCTTGTTCCCGCCTCGAAATTACCTGGCACATTATCATCACACCCAAGCACAAGCCCTAATGATGTTGCTCCACACTTAAAAACTTCCCCTGGTTCCCCACTGTTAACAGAACCAGTTCCAAACGTCTGAGAAGAGTCCTATACGTTCTTGCTCCCTTACTCACACAGGTCTTGCCATGGCTTCTGCCAGACACCACTCTGTCTGGTCCCACTGTCATCCCTTTCTGCCCCTTCTATATCTAACTTAATCCTTCCACACAGTGGGCCTTCAGTGACTTCTGACCGGTAAAGAACTGAATGAATTTAGTATGTCCTTAGCAAGTACACTAGTTTTTGCTGTTGTTGTTAAAATTAGTAAGTTAGACAAATGATCCTCATGCTTACAGCAGTATGAACCTATGATGTGATGTTTACTAGTTCAGGCAAGAAAAACACAGGAAGGCAAAAGGGAAATTGATTGTATGAGTACCTTTTAATTCTTTATGTGGAAAAATGAGTAATGTTCCCACATTCACCCTTCTTTCTTAAATGTAGCTGCTCTGAGATGCAAGAAAAATCCAGGAATCCCTACCTTCTGCATTATTGGTAGGCCATATATTCTAGAGGCTTCCCAGATGGTGCTAGTGGTAAAAAAAAAAAAGCAAACAAAAAAAACCAACCTCCTGCCAATGCAGGAGACATAAGAGATGTGGGTTCAATTCCTGGGTCTAGAAGATCCCCTGGAGGAGGACACGGCAACACACTCCAGAATTCCTGCCTGGAGAATCCCATGGACAGAAGAGCCTGGTGGGCTGCAGTCCATGGGGTCTCAAAGAGTTGGACACGACTGAAGAGGCTTAGCACACATGTGTTGTTGATTGGTCTCTCCGTCCTGTCCGACTCTTTGTGACCCCAGCATGGACTGAGGCACACTAGGCTTGCCTGTCCTTCGCTATCTCCCAGAGCTTGCTCAAACTCATGTCCATTGAGTCAGTGATGCCATCCAACCATTTCATCTTCTGTTACCCACTTCTCCTCCCACCTTCAATCTTTCCCAGCATCAGGGTCTTTTCCAATGAGTTGCCTCTTGCCATCAGGTGGCCAGAGTATTGGAGCCTCAGCATCAGTCCTTCTAATGAATATTCACAGTTTATTTCCTTTAGGATTGACTGGTTTGATTCCTTGCTGTTCAAGGGTCTCTCAAGAGTCTTCTCCAGCGCCATAGTTTGAAAGTTTGCTTCTCTATTTTTCTCTCCATCACTCCATCCTGTCTTTCCCTTCCTTCCCTGGACTTTTTTTAAACATATTTTTCTATTTTTCCTTCTTCTTTCACTGTCTCCTGAATCTGTCAGTGTAACACACACCCATCGAGTGCCCTGAACACTACCAACTCTCATGAGACCATTGATGATAAAGGGACCTTTTGTCGGGTTTTAACCAAAATGATGATTAAGTTATATGTTTACCTAATCACAGGCTCTCCATTTGTTTAATAACAAGTAAATCACAATGTGTAAATCAAATCGTAACTACTAGCTCAAAATAATACTTGGGTTCATAGGGTATGTGTGTGCTCAGTCATCCAGTCCTGTCTGACCCTTTGTGACCCCATGGACTGTAGCCCGCCAGCCTCCTCTGTCCATGGGATTTTCCAGGCAAGAATGCTGGAGTGGGCTGCCATTTCCAACTCAGGGATTGAACTCTCATCTCCTCATCTATGCTTGGACACAGATTCTTTGCCACGGAGCAAGCCGAAATAACAGTGGCCAAGTTTCCTAACTTTGTGAGGCATAACATAAAACTTGGTACAAATAGATATACATAGTTTGGGTACATAAAATTTGAATCCTCTTAAGTTAACTTTCAGGTACAAGGAATCTTGACTCATCCTCCTCTCCTCCTAATAAGCCCTGCTGTTACTGATCTGAGAATGTTTCCTGTAACAGGGAGACAGCCTGTGCCCTGGTATACTTAACTTCAAACATAGGCTCAAGTAGATGAAGAACAGTTTTCAGAATTTTCTTATGACCATCACAGAAGCAAATCTCACTACCAAGATGCTCTCTTGAAAGGCTTTTTGTTTTACACCTAAAAGCCTACCAAGAATTAGCTAGTCTGTCCCTCATACCCTTCCTCACAGAGACACATTTTATGGAAAATAAGTAAATAAAAGTATTATTTTACTCTCTTCTTTAACCACTTTTAAATAAATGCTAAGAACCTAACATCCTTGAAGATGTTACTATTCCAAGCTGTTGATTGCAGGCCAAAGTCCTTCCTGTTAGGAAACATCTCACAAAGTAATTAACAACATCAAGATGGTTGCAACATTCATTTCATTCATTCCCTTCAAATGGGATGTACTAGATGACTTAGGGAGGAAAAAGGAAGCTGTAATTTATGTACCCTAATTGGTTGTGAAAAATAGGGTGGAGATAGTACTGCACCCTGAGATAATTTGACAGTCATGTTAAAAAATAATGAATAAAATTCTTAGCTTCAATGATAGTAGTATCAAGAAATTTATTAACAGGTTTTCATATTCTGATTTAGGAGCCTCGTCAGTAGTATGGAGTTATATTTGCAGGGTACCAAGACTGCAACAGATCAACATATTTATATAATTTCTCCTTAATTGGTTTCTGTCATTTTAAATGGAATTAACCAAGGAGAATGTTTATATTCAAACAAACACTGTAAGATAACTGGAAGCCTTCTTTATGGTCCAACTCTCATATCCATACATGATTATCAGAAAAACCATAGCTTTGACTATTCAGACCTTAGTTAGCAAAGTGATGTCTCTGCTTTTTAATACACTGTCTAGGTTTGTCATGGCTCTTCTGCCAAGGAGCAAGCGTCTTTTAATTTCATGGCTGCAGCCACCATCAGCAGTGATTTTGAAGCCCCCAAAAATAGAGTTTACTACCAATAAATAACAATAAAATAACACAGAGTGATGTGAAAACTGACCTTTCAACAGGTAAAGCTAAACTCAATTTCCAATAATATAACAAGAACTTGGATAACTTAATCATCAACTGAAGTTAAAGTTTTACATAGGTGATAAAACCTAGATTCCTACAACAGAATTAACTAATAAAGAGGGAGTGTTTGAATACCCACCGCCTTATG